GAAAGGAGTCCCTGTTTAATAGATGGTGTTGGGAAAACTGGCTAGCCATGTGCAGAAAGCAGAAACTGGACCCCTTCCTGACACCTTACACTAAAATTAACTCCAGATGGATTAAAGACTTAAACATAAGACCTAACATCATAAAAACCCTAGAAGAAAATCTAGGCAAAACCATTCAGGACATAGGCATAGGCAAGGACTTCATGACCAAAACACCAAAAGCATTGGCAACAAAAGCCAAAATAGACAAATGGGACCTAATCAAACTCCACAGCTTCTGCACAGCAAAAGAAGCAGTCATTAGAGTGAATCGACAACCAACAGAATGGGAAAAAATTTTTTGCAGTCTACCCATCTGACAAAGGGCTGATATCCAGAATTGACAAAGAACTCAAACAGATTTACAAGAAAAAAGCCCATTCAAAAGTGGGTGAAGGATATGAACACTTTACAAAAGAAGACATACATGAGGCCAACAAACATGAAAAAATGCTCATTATCACTGGTCATTAGAGAAATGCAAATCAAAACTACATTGAGATACCATCTCATGTCAGTTAGAATGGCGATCATTAAAAAATCTGGAGACAACAGATGCTGGAGAGGATGTGGAGAAATAGGAACACTTTTACATTGCTGGTGGGAGTGTAAATTAGTTCAATCATTGTGGAAGGCAGTGTGGCAATTCCTCAAGGACCTAGAAATAGAAATCCCATTTGATCCAGCAATCCCATTACTGGTTATATATTCAAAGGATTATAATTCGTTCTACTCCAAGGACACATGCACACAAATGTTCATTGCAGCACTGTTTACAATAGCAAAGACCTGGAACCAACCCAAATGCCTATCGATGATAAACTGGGCAGGGAAAGTATGTCACATATACACCATGGAATATTATGCAGCCATCAAAAACGATGAGTTCGTGTCCTTCGTAGGGACATGGATGAACCTGGAAACCATCATTCTCAGCAAACTGACACGATAACAGAAAATCAAACACTGCATTTTCTCACTCATAGGTGGGTGTTGAAAAATGAGAACACATGGACACAGGGAGGGGAGCATCACACATTGGGGTCTGTTGGGGGGAAATAGGGGAGGGACAGTTGATGGTGGGGAGTTGAGGAGAGAAAGCATGGGGAGAAATGCCAGATACAGGTGATGGGGAGGAAGGCAGCAAACCATGCTGTTATGTGTGTACCTATGCAACAATCTAGCATGTTCTTTACATGTACCCCAAAACCTAAAATGCAATTTTAAAAAAATAGTAAGTTGAGAACCATGGTGTAGAGAAGGTTGGTATCTGTCAGTGTTCTATTAGTCGTCATCTTTTTTATCCTTCTCTCTTCCCCTTCATCATCTTCATCTTTTTTACTTTCATCCTCATCCCTCATCTGCTTCTCATCAATATTTTCTAATCTCTCCTCCTCTGCTATTATCAACCTTTTTTCCTCCTCCTTCTTCATCATCCATATTGAGAAAGAAGAGTAGCACCATGATGGGTATGGCCAAATATCAACTTTGATGACTTCTCCTAACTCATCACTTGGATCAGAATGGTCAGTAAACCAGGTAAAGAATCTCTCTGGTTCCTCATGCTGCCACTTCCTGCTGGCTTTATTCTGCATTTGACATGAACATTTCATCAAATCCTTTTCAAGTTTTTATTTAATTCTGGTGGACTTTGAAGATGGATCACCACTCTCATTCAGATGAAATTCTTTGAGGAGAACTTTATTTTCAAAGTAAGGATTTCTATCAGAATAAAAATTTATTCTGCAACCTGTGTTAATATCTTCAAATTCTGTCACTTCGACTCTGGTCAAATAACACAGTGCCTCTTCATACTCCTCCCCAAGCACTGCAGACACTTGTGGATGGTTGACAAATGTTGTTACCCAAAAATTTGGGATTTGATTTTTTTTTTCTTCTGGGTTTGGGTTTGGTTTGTTCTTGTTTTTCTAGTTCCTTGAGGCACATGCTTTTTCAGTTTTTTTTGATATAGGTGTTTAGGGCTATGAATTCTGATGATCTGATATGGTCATCAATTCTGACTGATGCTGAGAAAAATGGTTGCAGAATTTCTCCTATTTCTGTTCTACTTTCAAAATCTCCTCACTGACTTGTTCATTAAGTCTGTCTATTTTATTTCATACTTCATCAATGTGTTCCATTGCTTCTTGCTAGTTTTTTTTCTCCCTTCTTAGGCAAGCCTGCAAGAGGCTAATGTCTCCTCCGGTCCCAGAGCAGGAGGTGGTCTTGGTTTCTTTTTTTGAGGAGGCAGTGCTTGCTGGCATTTGGGAGGCCATGCTCCTAGGGAAGTCCAAGAACTAGACCACGAGTCTTTTTCCTCATATGGAAGCAGGCAGAACACTTGTTGGTAATTTTTAAGTTACCATATCAATCTTGCTACTTGTTATTGGTCTGTTCAGTGTATCTAATTATTTCTGATTTAAGCTGAATAGGTTTTTTTTTTTTAGAAATTTATCCTTTTCTTTTAGGTTTTCTAGTTAGTGTACTTAAAGATATTCATAGTAGCCTTGAATGATCTTTCGAATTTCTGTGGTGTCAGTTGTAATATCTCCCTGTTCATTTCTTATTGCAGTTATTTGGATTTTCTCTTTTTTTCTTGTTTAATCTTGCTAATTTTCCATTAATGGTATTTATCTTTTTAAAGAGCCAGGTTTTTGTTTTGTTTATCTTTTGGTTTTTTGTTTGCTTGTTTCAATTTTATTTTACTCTGCTCTGATTTTTTTCCCCCCTGGGTTTGGATTTGGTTTCTTCTTGTTTCTCTAGTTCTTTGAGGTGTGACCTTAGAGTGTCAGTTTGTGCTCTTTCAGTTTTTTTGATGTAAGTGTTTGGGGCTCTGAACTTTCTTTTTAGCACCACCTTTGCTCTATCCTAGAGGTTTTGATAGGTTGTGTCACTTTTGTTGAGTTTGAAGAATTTCTAAATTTTCATCTTGATTTTGTATTTGATGCAATAATTATCCAGGAGCAAGTTTTTAAATTTACATGTATTTGCATGGTTTTGAGGTTTCCATTTGGAGCTGAATTCCACTTTTATTCCACTGTCGTCTGAGAGAGTGCTTGATGTAATTTCAATTTTCTTAAATTTATTGAGGCTTGTTTTATGGCTCATTATATGGTCTATTTGGAGAAAGTTTCATGCACTGTTTAATAGAATGTGTGTATTCTTCAGTTGTTGACTAGTATGTTATGTATATATCTGTTAAGTCTCTTTGTTCCAAGGTATAGTTTAAATCCATTGTTTCTTTGTTGACTTTCTGTCTTGATGACCTGTATAGTGCTGTCAATGGAGAATTGAAGTCCCCACTATTATTGTGTTGCTGTCTATCTCATTTATTAGGTCTTCTAGTAATTGTTTTATAAATTTGGGATCTTCTGTTAGGTGCATATATGTTTAGGATTGTGATATGTTTCTGCTTGGCCAGGCCTTTTACCATTGTACAATGTTCTTCTTTGTCTTTTTTAACCGCTGTCGCTTTAAAGTTTATTTTGTCTGATATAAGAATAGCTCTTATAAACCTCTTGTTTAGCATAATATTGTGGTGTTCTCTGGCTTAGGTGAGTAGCAAGCCATTTTTATGAATTACCTCAGACCATTAGGAGAAAAGGTATTCACATTTTCTAATGTTTTAATAATGGTCTGAGTTTCTATTTCTTTCATTAGGTATTCAATTTATCTGAAAATCCTTAAATTATTTATTTTCATATTTTTATGATAGCTTTCTAAAATTTTTATATATTTTTTTACTGGGCCATGTTGCCCTAGTATTTTATACACATTGCAGTCGTTGATTACAATTTTTACATCAAGAAAGCTACCTGTTACAGTCTTCATAATGTAGCCTTGTTCCTGGGATCATCTGAAACCAACTATCTTGGCTAGAGATTCTGGGAGTCTCTCAAAAGTGGTCTTAGAATGCATCTTATCTGAAATTTTGTGTTTTTATTTATTTATATTAGCTAAAGAACATTATTCATGTTTCTTTTCAATAATCACTTTCTACATCTGTTTTTTTTTCCTGTGGTACAGCAGTCTCTGCTGCTGTAACGTTTAACTTTGCAGACTAAAGTTGTCATTTTAAAGTATGCCATCATTTTTTCCAGCACTTTATGTCATGAAAGACAAAAGCCAGTTTCTGCAAAAGCCCATAGAAGCTAGAAATAAATATGTATGTGCCATTATTGTACTTGTCTTTAAAAAGAAGCGAGGAGTTGGCAAATTATTATTATTATTTTTTAATTATTATTTTGAGACAGAGTCTTGCTCTGTCACTCAGGCTGGAGTGCAGTAGCAAGATCTTATCTCACTGCAACCTTTAGATCCCAAATTCAAGTGATTGCCTCAGCCTCCTGAGTAGCTCGACTATAGACATGTGCCACCACACATGGCTAATTTTTGGATTTTAGTAGAGATGAAATTTTTCCATTTTGACCAGAGTGGTCTTGAACTCTTGATCTCAGGTTAAAAAAATAAAAGGTCAAGCTGGTGTTGGACTCTTGAGCTTAAGTTAAAAAAAAAAAAGCCCATTTGTTCTAAGGCATAGTTTAAATTCATTGTTTCAGCCTCCAAGTTTAAATCTACTTGCCTCGGCCTCCAAAAGTGCTGGGATTACAGATGTACGCTGCCATTTCCAGCCAGCAATTTACTTTGAAAGACACTGTTATTTTGGGAAGTAGGAAGAGCTGAGTTGGAAAACTATAATAGACTTCTCTTTCATTTTATGTGGTTCTTTGCATTGTGCTTACTTGGGGTGCTGCACACACTTAACTCATTTATAAATTTTCCTCAAATATATTTTGGTCAGTATGTTTTTGTTACATTTATATGTCTGTGAAGAAATTAGGGCCTGTCTTATTTTGCTGTGCCATCTTGCTTTTGTGGTTTTTATAATTTTATAGGTTAGATTTGTAAAGTATGTTTATCTGAGTCTAGCAAGTGGAATAATGTATTTTCATTTTTTTCAGCTATGTGTTCTCATTTTACACAAGATGTTTTGCCAGAGCAGAGCATTAAAGATTCTTTCCAGGAAGTAATACTGAGAACATATGCAAGATGTGGACATAAGAATTTACAATTAAGAAGAGACTGGAAAAGTGTGAATGAGGGTGAGATGCCCAAAGGAGATAATAATAAACTTAACCAATGTTCACCAACTACCCAGAGAAAAATATTTCAGTGTAATAAACATATGAAAGTTTTTTATAACTATTCAAATTCAAGTAGAAATAAGATTAGACACACTAAAAAGAAAACTTTCAAATGTATAGAATGTGGCAAATTATTTTTCATGCTTTCACACTTAATTCAACATAAAAGAATTCATACTAGAGAGAATTTCTACAAATGTGAAGAATGTGGCAAAGCCTTCAAATGGTTCTCAATCTTTACTAAACATAAGATAATTCATACTGAAGGTAAACCCTACAAATGTGAAGAATGTGGCAAAGCTTTTAAGTGGTCCTCAAAACTTACTGCACATAAGGTAATTCACACCAGAGAGAAGCCCTACAAATGTGAAGAATGTGGCAAAGCTTTTAGCCAGTCCTCAACCCTTAGAAAACATGAAATAATTTATACTGGAGAGAAACCCTACAAATGTAAAGAATGTGGCAAAGCTTTTAGCCAGTCCTCAAATCTTACTGAGCATAAGAGAATTCATACTGGAAAGGAACCCTACAAATGTGAAGAATGTGGGAAAGCTTTTAAGTGGTCCTCCAAACTTACTGCACATAAGGTAATACATACCGGAGAGAAACCCTACAAATGTGAAGAATGTGGTAAAGCTTTTAATCGTTTCTCAGGCGTTACAAAACATAAGATAATTCATACTGGAGAGAAACCCTACAAATGTGAAGAATGTGGCAAAGCTTTTAACAATCTCTCAACCCTTACAAAACATAAGAGAATTCATACTGGGGAGAAACCCTACAAATGTAAAGAATGTGACAAAGCTTTTAAGCAGTCCTCACACCTTACTAGACATAAAAGAATTCATACTGGAGAGAAACCCTACAAATGTGAAGAATGTGGCAAAGCTTTTAGCCTGTCCTCAACCCTTAGAAAACATGAGAAAATTCATACTAGAGAGAAACCCTACAAATGTGAAAAATGTGGCAAAGCTTTCAACCAGTCCTCAAACCTTACTACACATAAAAGAATTCATACTGGAGAGAAACCTTACAAATGTGAAGAATGTGGCAAAGCTTTTAAGTGGTCCTCAAAATTTACTGCACATAAGGTAATTCATACCGGAGAGAGGCCCTACAAATGTGAAGAATGTGGCAAAGCTTTTAATCATTTCTCAGGTGTTAGAAAACATAAGATAATTCATACTGGAAAGAAACCCTACAAATGTGAAGAATGTGGCAAAGCTTTTAACCAGTTCCCAACCCTTAGAAGACATAAGATAATTCATACTGGAGAGAAACCCTACAAATGCAAAGAATGTGGCAAAGCTTTTAACAATCTCTCAACCTTTATGAAACATAAGAGAATTCATACTGGAGAGAAACCTTACAAATGTGAAGAATGTGGTAAAGCTTTTAGCCAGTCCTCAACCCTTAGACAACATGAGATAATTCATACTGGAGAGAAACCCTATGAATGCAAAGAATGCGGCAAGGCTTATAAGCAAATTTCACACCTTACTAGACATAAAGCAATTCATACTGGAGAGAAACCCTACAAATGTGAAGAATGTGGCAAAGCTTTTATTCAGTCCTCACACCTTACTACACATAAAACAATTCATACTGGAGAGAAACCCTACAAATGTGAAGAATGTGGCAAAACTTTTAAACAATCCTCACACCTTACTAGACATAAAACAATTCATACTGGAGCGAATCTCTAGAATCACTACAAATGTGAAGAATGTGGCAAAGCTTTTAACCATCCTTCAGCTCTTACTAAACAGATAATTCATACTGCAGAGAACACCTAAAAATTTGAAAATGTAGCAAAGCTTTCAACCATTTTACAAACCTTTATACATAGAAGATAATTTATACGAGACAGACCCTACATATGTGATGAATGTGGCAAAACTTAACCAGTCCTCAAACCTTACTAGAAAGAAAACAATCCATACTGGAGAGAAACCCTACAAATGTAAAGAATGTGGCAAAGCTTTTAACCACTTCTCAAATCTTACTAAACATAAGATAATTCATACTGGAGAGAAACCCTACAAACATGAAGAATGTGGCAAAGTCTTTATCCAGTCCTTACACCTTAATACACATAAAATAATTGGTACTGGAGAAGAACCCTGCAAATGTAATAAATGTGTAAAGTTTCCAACCATTGCCATTGCTCAGCTCTTACTCAAAATGAGAGAATTCTCAAAAAGGATAAACTCCAGAAATGTGAATAATATGGCAAAACTTTTAACCAGTTCTTATATCTTACTGCACATAAGATTATTCATACTAAAGAGAAACCCTACAAATGTGAAGAATGTGGCTGAACTTTTAATCACTGTTCAAATTTTACTAAACATAAAATAATTCATACTAGAGACAAACACTACAAATGTGAAGAATGGGCAAAGCTTTTAACCAGTCCTCAAACCTTACTCAATATAAGATAATTTATACTGTAGAGAAATGCTACAAATGCAAAGAATTTGGCAGAACTTTTAAGTGCTTCTCAAAATTTACTGAACCTAAGATAATTCATACTGGAGAGAGACTTTACAAATATGAGAAATGTGGCAAAGCTTCTAACGGGTTCTTAAATCTTACTGAATGTAAGATATATTAGAGACAAATTCTACAAATGTGAAGAATGTGGCAAAGCTTTTAACTGGTTTTCAAACCTTATTGAACATAACATTATTCATACTGGAGAGAAGCCCAACAAATATAAAAATACAGCAAAGCTTTTAACTGGTTTTCAGATCTTACTCAACGTAAGATAGTTTATATTGAAGACAAACTTTAGAAATGTGAAAAATATGGCAGTGCTTTCAACCAATTCTCAAACCTTACTAGACATAAGAAAACTCATATTGGAGGCTGGGCACGGTGGCTCACACCTGTAATCCCAGCACTTTGGGAGGCTGAGGTGGGTAGATCCCGAGGTCAAGAGATTGAGACCATCCTGGTCACCAAGATAAAACCACATCTCTACTAAAAATACAAAAATTAGCTGGGCATGGTGGTGCTTGCCTGCAGTCCCAGCTACTCGGGAGGCTGAGGCAGGAGAATTGCTTGAACCCAGGAGGCAGAGTTTGTAATGAGCCAAGATCACACCATTGCACTCTAGTCTGGGTAACAACAGTGAAACTCTGTCTCAAAAAAAAAAAAAAAAATTCATATTGGAGAAAAACCTTACAAATATGAAGACAGTTGCAAAACTTTGAGCCAGTCCTCAACTCTTACTAAACAAGATAATTCAATGGTAGAGAAACCCTAGAAATGTGAATAATGTCATAACCACTCTTCAGTTCTTATAAACAGTTTATACTGGAGAGAAACCTTGCAAACATGAAGAATGTTGCAAAGGTTTTAACTGGTTCTTAAACCTTACTGAACATTAGGTAATTCATAATGGAAACTAGCCCTACAAATGTAAAGAATGTGGCAAAGCCTGTAACCATTTCTCACATCTTATCGCACATAAGATAATTCATATCCTACAAATGTGAAGAATGTAACAAAGTCTTTAACTGGTCTTCGACTCTTACTAAACATAAGAAAATTGATACAGAAGATAAATCTTACAAATATGAACGATGTCACAAAGGTTTGAAAACTGTTGCTCACCCATAATTCCAGAACTTTGGGAGGCCAAGGAGGGCAGATTATAAGGTCAAGAGATCAAGACCATCCTGGCCAACATGGTGATACCCCATCTCTACTAAAAATAATAAAAAAAATAGCTGGGCATGTTCACGCATGCCTGTAGTGCCAGCTACTCGGGAGGCTGAGGCAGGAGAATCACTTGAACTAGGGAGGCGGAGGTTGCAGTGAGCCAAGATCTACCTACCTCTGCATCCCAAAGTGCTGGGATTACAGGCATGAGCCACCATGCTCAGTATTGTTAATGTGCTAAAAATTTGGTTTTAAGTGGAGAATTTTCTTACTAATATAACTTCCTGATTCGTTAATTAAAATATGAGGCATACACTGTCCACATGTGAAAGAATTAAATCAGTTTGCATTTTGTTGTTGTTGTTTGTTTGTAAAAGAAGAGTCTTACTGGATTCCTACACGAAGTGTGGCAAGTATAAAAGTTGGTACAAAATATATCTTAGAAATAAAACTTTTCAGGCGAGGCATGGTGGCTCACGCCTATGATCCCAGCACCTTGGGAGGCCGAGGTGGGTGGATGATGAGGTCAAGAGATAGAGACCATCTTGGTCAACAAGATGAAACACCGTCTCTACTAAAAATACAATAATTAGCTGGGCATGGTGGCGCATGCCTGTAGTCCCAGCTACTTAGGAGGCTGAGGCAGGAGAATTGCTTGAATCCGTAAGGTGGAGGTTGCGGTGAGCCGAGATCACGCCATTGCACTCCAGCCTGGGTAACAAGTGCAAAACTTCGTCTCAAAAAAAAAAAAAATTAAATTTATCAGAGTTAATGTAAGTAAAGAATTCTAAATTAATTTTCTATGATACAGTACAACTTATATTTTAATACAGACTTCTATTTTTAAGTGTAAATGTTAAGTGTTGCAAAGTAATAGAATATACTCTTTGGATTAAAGTTTTTAAATTTATTTTTTATATTACAATTTGGAGAAATTTTTCACTCAATTTGTGTAGTGAGTGAAGTTGTCTACAGTTTTTTTGTTTTTGTTTTTGTTTTTTTTTTTTTAGTCACCTCACTGTAGGCAATTCTTTGGTCACTTTCTCTGGAAAAATTTTGGGGAAGAAATTATAACAGCTTTTGTATTAAAACATTTCCTGTTACTTTGCATGCAAACTTGCTTACCGTGTTCAAACAGTGGCCAGTCTTGAGATCATAAGCAACACCTGCCCTGTTAATGTCTTTCCTACCACTGCAGTCAGCACCAGAAACTCCTGCTGGCTCAAGCTTAAAATAAAAGCTCTAATGTACATTGGCTCCTCCCATGCATAGTACTGAGTTCAGAACATGATGTTAAATGTCAGAGCTCCTATGGTTATGACTAAAAAATTAAATGACAAAAACAGCACAGAATTATTTTTGATACTATTTAGCCAAGTTAATGACAAAGACATGAGAGTATTTGGAAAAATCAGTATCCTTCTATAATGTTTTAAATATATATTTTAAACTTGGCAGATAAAACATATTCTGTAAAACATGATGTTTTAAAGTATATATATGCATTGTCAAATGCTTAATTTTAGGTAATTAATGCTTTACCTCACATAGTTAACATTTTTGTGGTGACAGCACATCATATTGTCCCAGCATTTTTCAAAAATACGTTACTATTAACTATAGACAACATGCTGTACAATAAATCTTTTGCCTGTATTACTTCTATCCAACTCTAATTATGTATTTTTTGACAGACATCTTTCTGGAGCCACCTTCTAAATACCTTGGCATCTAGTGGTCTTAATTTTACTCTCTACTTCAGTGAGTTTAAATTTTATATAATTCATGTGTAGGTAACAATCATAAAATTTTAATTTTACTGTGCCTGGCTTATTTAATATAATGTCTACCAGGTTAATCCATGTGATTGAACATAATAGAATTTTCTTTCTAAAAGATAAATAGTATCTCATCAGGTATATATACATTTTATTTACTCATTAGATGCTGATTTCATATATTTGCTATTGTGAAGAGTATTGCAAACAACATAGAAGTACTAATTTTTTAATCTAATTTGTGTGTGTATATATGTATATATCCAATAGTGAAATTGCTGTGTTATATAGTAGTTTGATTTTAGATTTATTGAGACATTTGTTTCCATTTTTATAATGGCTGTCTTCATTTACCCTCAAACCAGGAGTATGCAGGCATTCCCTTCACATTTTTACCAACACTTTTTTTTTTTTAATAAGAGTCATTCCAATATGAGTGATTTTATGTCTCATATATTTTTGGCTTGCCTTTTTCTGATAATAAGTGACACTGAGCATTTAAAAATACCTATGGTCATGTATATGTCTTTTTGTGAAAAAATATTCAAGTTTTTTCTCATTTTTAGTAGTTATTTGTTTTTTATTATATAGTCAGTTTCTTACATAATCTTGATATTCACCCCTTGTCACGTGTATGATTTGCAAAATATTCTCCAATTTATTAGTTTTCTTGATTGTATCAGATTCTGTACAGCAACTTTTTAATTTGAAGTAATCTGACTTGTCTATTTTTTCTTTAGTTTCCTGAGATTTTGAGGTTAAATTAAAAAAATTTACTGCCTAAACCAATCTGATAGGGCCTTCAGTCTATATTTTTTGTAGTAGTTTCAGAGTTTCAGGCCTTACATGTTAAGTATTTAACATATGAATGATCCAAGATGGCTGATTGCTAACATCTTGGGATTGCAGCTCCCAGTGAAAGCGCAGAGAATGAGAGGACGCCACCTTTCAGACAAATTTTGGTCACTCAGGGAGCAGAAGATTCCCAGTGGAGGAGTCACACGGGTCGCCAGTGTGACTCTTGTGGCCGGCGCAGTGGTTTTGCCAGCACCTCAGCGCGGCAGCTCTTGGTGCAGAGTAAACGGGACTGGTTCCCCTTCTGACCTATGTTCAGAGGAGCTGCACGGGTCGCCAGTGTGACTCTTGTGGCTGGTGCAGCGGTTTTGCTGGCACCTTGGCACAGCAGCTTCTGGTGCAGAGTAAACGGGACTGGTTCCTTTTCTGACCGAGGTTTGGAGCTCTGGGAAGGCAGAGTTGCCTATTGCGGACTCAACAAGGAAGTCAGACTGGAGATTCCTGGGCAGAAAAGCACCATCAGTCTTAACGCCGTTGTTTTTGCCAGCTCAGAGGGTTGCTCATATTTCAGCCATGGGAATTAACAACTTGGACGTCCACTCAGAGACCTAATTTGAAAGTTGGTAATTACAAAGACGACAGGTGGATAAATGTACAATTATGGGAAGAAACCAGCGTAAAAAGGCTGAGAATACTGAAAATCAGAATGCCTCTCCCTCTACAGAGGATCACAGTTCCTCATTAACAAGGGAACAAGGCTTGATGGAGAACGAGCACATCCCATTAACAATCAGGCTTCAGAAGATGGATAATAAGAAACTTCTGTGAGTTAAAAGAACATGTTGTAGCCCAATGTAAAGAAACTAAGAACTTTGAAAAAAGGTTTGATGAAATCCTAATGAGAATAGACAACTTAGAGACGAATATAAGTGAATTAATGGAACTGAAGAATACAATACAGGAACTGTATGCACAGGTTTAAACACTCGAATTGTTCAAGCAGACGAAAGGATATCAGAGGTCGAAGTCCAACTTAATGAAATAAAATGAGAAGACAAGATTAGAGAAAAAAGGATAAAAAGGAATGAGCAAAGTCTCCAAGAAATGTGGGACTATGTGAAAAGACCAAATTTACATTTGATATGTGTACCTGAATGCGACAGAGAGAATGAATCCAAGCTGGAAAATATTCTTCAGGATATTATTCAGGAAAATTTTCCTAAACTAGCGAAGCAGGACAATATTCAACCTCAGGTAATACAGAGAACACCACAAAGATATTCCTCAAGAAGAGCAACCCCAAGGCACATAATCGTTAGATTCACCAGGGTTGAAACAAAGGAGAAAATACTAAGGGCAGCCAGAGAGAAAGGTCAGGTTAATTACAAAGGGAAGCCTATGAGACTTACAGCAGATCTCTCAGCAGAAACTCTACAAGCCAGAAGAGAGTGGGGGCCAATATTCAACACCCTTAAAGAACAGAACTTTTAGCCCAGAATTTCATATCCAGCCAAACTAAGCTTCACAACTGAAGGAAAAATCTTTTATGAACAAGCAAGTACTCAGAGATTTTATTACCACCAGGCCTGCTTTACAAGAGCTTCTGAAAGAAGCATTAAACAGAAAGAAACAACCAGTATTAGCCTTTCTAAAAATATACCAAAAAGTAAAGAGCATCAACATAAAGAAGAATTTACATCAATAAATGGATAAAACAGCCAGTTAACATCAAATGGCGGTAATTCTAAATTTAAATCAACTAAATCCCCCAATCAAAAGATACAGCCAAAACCCAACAAAAACTCAAAACAAAGGGATGGAGAAAGATTTACCAACCAAATGGAGAGCAAAAATAAATAAATAAAAAGCAGGAGTTGCAATTCTCGTATCTGATAAAATAGATTTTAAAGCAACAAAGATATAGTGGTAAAAGGATCAATGCAACAACAAGAGCTAATGATCCTAACACCCAGATACATAGAGACTTAGACTCAAAGAGACAGAAAACTAATAAGGATATCAAGGACTCGAACTCAGATCCAGAACAAGTAAACTTAATAAATATTTATAGAGCTCTCCACTTTAAATGCACAAAATATACATTCTTGTCAATACCACATCACACCTACTCATAGGTGTAAATGAAATATTGATTGGCCATTATTAATACCCCCCCCTTTTTTTTTTAGAATAAAGCAACATTTCCGTTCTCTCTCCCTCTTCTTCCTCTTTCTTCCTTTCTGTCACTCTTTTTCTTTCTTTCCTTCTCTCAAAAAAAGAAGAAAAGAAATCAACTTGTAGACCTCTAGATCCAGGTCGGCAATGCTCTCTCATTGCCTGATTTCCTTCCTTCCCTTCCCTCCCTCCCTCCCTCCCTCTCTCCTTCCTTCTTTCCTCCCTTCCTGCCTTCCTCCCTTCCTACAAAAAAAAGTAACATATTTTGAGTTGATTTTTATATATGGAGTATGATGAAGGACTTATTGCTCTGCATGTGGCTATAAAGTTTTCTCAACATCATTATTGAGGATACTGTCCTTTTTCTAAGAAACTGTCACCTATATTAAAAAAATATTAGTTGTAAATACATAAATATATTTCTTGTTTCTCTTTTGTGCTCCATTGGCCTATATGACTGTTTTTGTTCAAGTACCATACTATTTTTGTCACCATAGCTTTGCAGTATATTTCTAAGTCAGATAGGATGATACTTCAGACTTCTGTTTTTGTTTATGCTTGAATGCTTTTGCTGTTCAGGATTTTTTGTCATACCAGATAAATTTTAGATTTTTTATTTTCTTATTTTGAGACAGAGTTTTGCTCTTGTCCCCAGGCTGGAGTGCAATTGTGCAATCTCAGCTCACCGCAACCTCCGCCTCATGGGTTAAAGTGATTCTCCTGCCTCAGCCTACTGAGTAGCTGGATTACAGGTGTGTGCAACCATGCCTGGCTAATTTTTGTGTCTCTGGGATTACAGATGTGAGCCACTGTGCATGGCCTTGAGCAAACTTTTATTCATTTTTCTGTTTAACTCGTTCTTTTGTTTATTTCTATTTTAAGAAGTATTTTAATTTCTACCTGAAATTACTAATTTAAACCCAAAAGCATCTGAGACAGAGCTCAACTTAGAAATTTATTTCACCCAGGCTAAGGACACATCTGTAACAGAGTCTCAGGAGGTTGTGACAATGTGTGCCTAAGGTTGTTGGGGCACAGGTTTCTTTTATGCATTTTAGGGAGACAGGTGACATTCGTCACTATATGTAAGGTATACATTGTCCAGGAAGGTAAGACAATGCAAAGTGAGGTGGGAGCTTCCAGGTTATAGGACAAATAGTTAAAGTGTTTCTGAGTTTCTAATTACCCTTCTATTGGGTTATTTCCAGGTGTGTCTTTCCTAAGCCTCCAAGAAAAACTTGACTCCAAGTTTGTAGAGTTTTAATCTATTTTGGCCAATTTTCTGTCTACTTTATAACATTCAACAGCAGGTGATTTAACCAAAACCCTTATGGTTTTCTAGCACAATTATAAGCTACACATGTATTCTTAGCAAGGCAAAAACAGAAACCATGATGATTACAATAACAACCCTTCTGTGCATGAATAGCCCTTCAACTGGTGACATCACACAGCCCACTGTGGAGTTTCTGAATCCTACACCCAAAGGCAGTCAAAAGTTGGAAAATTGACTTGCACACATAGATCTGGTCCATAGGTAGATTGGTGACTCCCACACCATGATTCAGCACACCCATGAAATGGTGACTTTGCTAAGAAGATAAAGTTTACAGGAGGAATAAAGGTTCTCACGCAGTCCACTGTTGAGATTGTGACTCATATACTTAGACTCAACATTCAGGAGGTTTTTACACAGATACCTAAAACTGGGACATTTATGAAATTGTTAATCTCACTCCTGGATCTTCCTGCAGATGTTGTTGTGACGTATATATGTCTCTCCCAGTACCTGAGTTATGTGACTCTCTTGTCAGGGCTCAGCTGACAGATGGGATTGTGTTGTATCACTGGACTCAGCACCTACGTGATGTGACATTCTCCTGCTGTGGCATTACCTAATTGGGGCCTTGTGACATATGTCTGTGCTCATAACTAAGGTGATGTGATTGATTCTCTTCTCTTGCCTGATGTCTGCTTACCTGAGAGTGACATATCACTGGGCCCAATACCAAAGTGACATCGTTTTTTTTAACCTTGATCACCTCAGAAAACATTGTGATGTATTGTTGGACCCACAGTCAACTTGATTTGAGTCTCCTGCAGGTACCCTGACCATAGAGACCATCGTGACATATCTCTGGAAGCTAAGCTATTTGAAGTGATTATCTTGTTATACCTGCTCTTTGCTCATAGGAGAGAACATGACATATCTCTGGGCCCAGCACCTAGTTGATGTAACTCTGCCCTCCTGCCTGGGCTATGCCTACAGAAGAAAGAGTGACTTATCACTGGGCTCAGCACACAGGTGATATGATTGTACTGTCTTGATTCTTGCCCACAGTAATCTCATTACATACTTTTGGGCTCTTCTGCTAGATAATGTGTCTCCTTTTCTTCCTGGTACCTGTCCACAAAGGAGATTGTGACATATCACTTGACCCAGCACCTACATGATGTGCCTCTCATCTTATGCCCTGACTTTTCTTACTGAGCTGATTGTTACATATAGCTGGGTACAACTTCTAGGTTATTTAACTCTTCTTCCTGAGTCCTCACGGGGCATTGTGACATACCTCTAAGCACGTCACCTAGGTAATATGACTCTCTTTCCTGGACCGTCCCCTAATATGTTATTGTGACATATTTCTGGACCAGAACCTAGGTGATGTTACTCTTTTCGCCTACCTGTTACTGGAAGTGAATTCATATGGATATTAGTCTGCAGGAACCTCGATTCTTGCCTTCTCAGAAGAAAGAACTCAACTGAGGGGCATAAAGCAGGAGAGACTGAGGCAAGTTTTATTTTATTTTTTAATTTTTTATTTCATATAATGGATTATTTAGTAATAAGAAATGAAGTACTCATACATGTTACAACATGCATAAACTCTCAAAATATTCTGCTAAGTGACAGAAGCCAGATACAATAGATCAGTACTCTATGATTCCATTTGTATAAAATGTCCAGAACAGGCATGGAGACAAAAAGCATATCTGTGGTTTCCAGGGGTTGTGGGGAGGAGGTGGAAGTGATCACTAGTAGTTACACGATTTCTTTTGGGAGTTATAAAATATTCTATCATTAGCTAGTGGTTATAGTTGCACAACTCTGTGAATATAGTAAAACCCACTTAATTGTATATTTTTTCAGAGTGAATTATATCTCAATAAAACTATTATTAGTAAATGAACATAATAATGAAAATTCTCTATTCGTTCCAGATTTTTTAATTAGGGGTTTAATCTTTGGAAATCAGAACACAACTCTGCCTGCCTAGGACTTCCTGATCATACATAATAATTGTACAATTATAAAATGCAAAGGATCATTCTAAATTAACTCTTTGATCACCTTATTGTTGAGAAAACTGAGCTCCAAAAAGCATAAATGACTTAAATAAGGTTATGTAACTAGCCAGTAGAACCAGGGAAGAGTCTCATTCCAATAATTCACATTTGTTGATTTTGACATTTTCTTAAATCCCCAAGTTTTTTATAATTTAAAGAAAAAAATTAAAAAGTAAGAAGAAATGCCTATGTATCTTTCATATTAACTCCAACAACTTTTTGCAGCCTTGGTCAGAGCCAATGGCAGATATAGGTGTAATAAGTCATTTCTGTGGGACTTACTCAGGAGATTTGGGGAGTAGTAAAACATTTTCTTTGAAAGTCGTGTGTGTTCTCTTCACCAAAGAGCAACTCTTAAAAGACTTTTTAATTTATTTTCCCACAGAAAAACACCGAGGATATATACATTTGTAAAAGAGCATTATTTAATGTTGACCTTCAAAAGCTTATGGTAAAATACCTGATCATATAAATCAGCAATTGTGTAGTCCAGTATTTCTGCAGCCTAGGTATCCACACATACGTGAGGATAACATTGGCGGGTAGTGTGAGCAGCTAGGGGAACGGCAGATGGTGCCCAGAATAACAAATAGTGTTACATGCTAAATTTAGTTTAGAAAATTCTGGATCAATTCAATAAATATTTAAGGAATGTCAACTACATGCCAGGCTGTCTACTAGATACGAGAGCAAAACAGATTTATACCAGAATTTTCTTAAAGCCTCTAACACTAAAGGCTAGTGTTCACAATGAGCATGGTGACCATATAATCCTAGTTTGCTGTAGACAGCCCCAGTTTACAGGCACTGTTCCAGCATTAAAATAATCTCTTTTTACTTCTGTAATTCTGCATAGGACTCTCTGAGAGGTGTGTGTGTGTGTGCGTGTGTGTGTGTAGCAGATTTTCCTAAACTTGCATGACCAATTACATTACATCTTTTTTTTTTTTTTTTGAGATGGAGTTTCACTGTTGTTACCCAGACTGGAGTGCAATGGCACGATCTTGGCTCACCGCAACCTCCGCCTTCTGGGTTCAAGCAATTCTCCTGCCTCACTCTTTCGAGTAGCTGGGATTACAGGCACACGCCACCACGCTCAGCTAATTTTTGTATTTTTAGTAGAGACGGGGTTTCACCTCGTTGACCAGGATGGTCTCGATCTCTTGACCTCCCAAAGTGCTGGGATTATAGGCGTGAGCCACCGTGCCCGACCACATTACGTACTTCTATCCACATTCCTACGATCATCTTCTAAAACAGTGGTCTCAGTCCGCAGAACATAGTTTGGGGTCTACTCCATTATCAACATTTGATAACTGAGGAAACAAAGGATCTGAGAATAAAACAGACTCAGCTAGACACAGGACACTAAAGCCTAGGACACCTGGCTCATAGAGCACTAATGCTCTTTCTGACATATCACAGACTATGATGCTAAGGCACTCTTAACATGGTTAACAAGTTCTATTATAAAAATAAGTCACCAAGTTCCACATTTTAATTTCATTTTAGACCAGGCGCGGTGGCTCAAGCCTGTAATTCCAGCACTTTGGGAGGCCGAGGCGGGTGGATCACGAGGTCAAGAGATTCAGACCATCCTGGTCAACATGGTGAAACCCTGTCTCTACTAAAAATACAAAAAATTAACTGGACATGGTGGCGTGTGCCAGTAATCCCAGCTACTCAGGAGACAGGCAGGAGAATTGCCTGAACCCAGGAGGCAGAGGTTGCAGTGAGAAGAGATCATGCCGTTGCACTCCAGCCTGGGTAACGAGCGAAAACTCCCTCTCAAAAAAAAAAAGTTCGTTTCTAAGGAAGTTCATTTTTTTCTTCCTCAATCATAACTGTAAAATTAAAAACAGAGAAAATATATTTTAGTCAACTCTTAAGATTATAATCCAAGTTCACTTACCCAACTCTCTCCTTTCCTCCTCTCTCTCTCTAGTAATTATAAAGTAGCTGATTTCTGTATATCTTCAAAGTATTACTGGCTTCACAGGTGTGTGTTGGGGTGGGGGAGGAGAAGTTAAGTCTATCCATCAATCAACAAAATGTTCAGTGTCTACCACAATGTATTCAGCTGTAATATTTTACACTGTGGTTCCAAGTGTTTTTTAAAAGTGGGGATACTATAATAATTTCTTGGGCCATATGGTACTTACACAAATCCCAAAGACTCAAAATATAATTTCATTATTATTTTTTAGTTTCTATAAGCTTATCAACAAACGATTTTCTGATTCTGGTTGCACCAAAATGTTTGGCCCTAGAAAAATATCATGGAAGGAATTCTGTAGTTGAAAACTAGTTATTCAAATTTTTGATCATCCGTGGCCGCTGATATTTCTAGATAACTGTTATGCATTTTAAGCAACTTAGGTACTTCTTTCAGAGAAAAATGAGTGAATGGTCATATAGCCTTTAAAATGAAAGTCAATGAGTTAAGAAATAGAATAGCCTGTTCTGAAAAAGGAAAAAGTAGAAAATGTTAGATAAAATAGCGTTTAAACTTTTAAGAAATTCATTTCTGTGCATCATTTTGTTCATCACCAATAAAAGTTAGTTGATATTAATTAAATCTTAGACAAGATAACCAGTTAAGCAGATGAAAAGAAAATTACAAGGGAGAAAAACATTTCTAGAAAGGAACTATTTTTGGATTTGTAGATGGTAATTTGAGATGTACGTGTAACAATATCCTCACATATTGGAAGTTGTGACTATGTGACAGAGCTTTGATGTTTGCAACACAGCAGACTCTTCTGTAATAATTATTTTAAAAGGCTTGCCTATGACAATTTCCCATTTGAAGTAATAAACCTATTCAAGTCTAACTATTGTACTTAGTTATAATCCCATTAAAAAATACAGATATTGATCATATCAAACATTTCATTGAGAAGTTGACACAGACACTCATGCAGTTTACGTGGATGTTCTCAGAAGCTTTCCTGTGTTTCAGAAACAGAACTACAGGCCTTTTTGTATAAGTTTCTGTACATCTTGTCCATGCTGTTCTCAAAGATGGGATGGTGGGATTTTCCCTTATAAGAGGCGGCCTGTTGGACCAGTATTCGCCATCGTCCAAATGGAAAGTGCCCCGTGGTGGCTGACATGAGCTATACTCGGGGTCACTGTCATAGGCAGAGTCTCTGTATAAAAGACTTCTTTTCAGTTCCAGTTCATCATCTTTCTCTAGGTCTCTCTCATCATATAAATGTCTTGGATGAGCCTGATGTGATTTCAAGACATTTTTTACCCAGTCATGGATCTCATCGCAGTTTGAAGGTGAACACCAATCAGAATGAAACCTTTCCCTGAGAAGCTCTATTTAACACAGGGCTTGGAGAATGCTTCGGCATTGTTAAGGGTGCTGAAAGGACTAGTAAGGTCCTTGCTGAATGCTGAGGCTTACTACATGACCTTGGGCTCAGATATTCTTCACACTTTTCTAAAGAGTCATCGAAGTCTCTCCCATGGGGTGTCCTCATAACCTTACAATCCTTGGGTCGGTAGCAGCCAAGATGAGAATGATCATTGTGACCACTTGACCATCTCTTTCACAGTCTCTGCCAGAAGATCCAAAGTATCAGCCCTGGGACTGGGGGATCAACATGTCTAATCACAAATGGAGGTTTATCTGTTTCCTTTTTGAACTCATAGGGTCCCAGATTTAAATGGACCAGCCGCCGCCTGGTATCTTCAGATAGCTCACACGTGCGTCTTTTTGTGTAGGGAGACGGAGAGTGTGATTTTGAAGAGACTGTAGGCTGTTCGTAGTTTTTTGCAATTATGCAATATTTACTCCTCTCAGGTGACTTGGATTTTTTCTTTTGTGTTCTTGATGTTCTGTTTTGCGGTCTGCCGTGTGATTTTTCAACTGGAGCCGAAAGGTAAATAAATTTATCCTGAGTGCGGCATTTCCTGAACTAATCAGACATTCAGTAATCACTGAAGTAGAAAATTCCAGCTTTGGAGCATTTCCCCGAAGGCCAGAAATCCTCCTCATGGTAACCTGGCGGTTTGAATCATGGTGTCCAGACACTTGGTTTGGACCTGGGAACATGAAATCTCTTGTATTTTCATCATATGTAGACAGCGTTTCACCCACTGGTGGAACTAGCTGTATCAACTCGAACACTGCTGTATCATATTCAAGCTGTGTAACCACGTCTCCAGGATCTACTGCTTCCGGGAACAGCTTTTCAAACACCATTCTGGCATTGAAGACCAGTGGAAAAGTGGCTGGGACACATTGTGTCTTTTTGTGTTGGCCAAACACAGATGCTTAGATGTCCTCTTTGTCTTTAAGCATGACTCCTGGGCAAGTTACTGAGCGGATCTCCAGCGCCAGGGCGCACTGCAGCGCCTTCACCTTTGGCATCCGCGCAGGGAGGGGTGGCGGGGAGCGACCCCGGCCAAGGACCCGAGTGAGGCAGGGACACCTGGGGCTGGACGGGGACGAGGAGGAGATGAGGTGGCGGCAGTGGTGGCAGCTGTGGCCCCCAGGCCAGGGCCCGCGGTCCAGCCTGGGTCCCGCCGGAGCAGCAGCTGAGCGTGGGGCGCCGACTCGTCATGGCAGCTGGGCTGAGGCAAGTTTTAGAGCAGCAGTTAAATGGCAGTAAGCTGTAGAACAGAAGCAAAAGGAAAGAAAGTACACTTGGAAGAGAGCCAAGTGGGTGACTTAAAAGACAAGTGCGGCCGGGCGCGGTGGCTCAAGCCTGTAATCCCAGCACTCTGGGAGGCCGAGGCGGGTGGATCACGAGGTCAGGAGATCAAGACCATCCTGTTCAACATGGTGAAACCCCGTCTCTACTAAAAATACAAAAAAAATTAGCTGAGTATGGTGGCGCGTGCCTGTAATCCCAGCTACTCGGGAGGCTGAGGCAGGAGAATTGCCTGAACCCAGGAGGCGGAGATTGCGGTGAGCCGAGATCGCGCCATTGCACTCCAGCCTGGGTAACAAGAGCGAAACTCCGTCTCAAAAAAAAAAAAAAAAAAAAAAAAAAAGACAAGTGCACCATGTGATCTTTTGACTTGGGGTCTTTATTTTTTTTTAGACGGAGTTTCGCTCTTGTTACCCAGGCTGGAGTGCGATGGCGCGATCTCGGCTCACTGCAACCTCCGCCTCCTGGGTTCAGGCAATTCTCCTGCCTCAGCCTCCTGAGTAGCTGGGATTACAAGCACGCGCCACCATGCCCAGCTAATTTTTTGTATTTTTAGTAGAGATGGGGTTTTACCATGTTGACCAGGATGGTCTCGATCTCTTGACCTCATGATCCACCCGCCTCGGTCTCCCAAAGTGCTGGGATTACAGGCTTGAGCCACTGTGCCCGGCCTTGACTTGGGGTTTTGTATGTTGCCATACTTCCGGAGTCTTGCATACCTTTTCCCCACTCACCCAACTCCTGAAATCTTATTGGGAAGCTGCTGATTACTGGTTGTAGGTGATCCACTAAGTTACCCACTTGAGAACAGAGGAGATACTCAACAGTGGGGCCCCTCTTCATCCTTAGGGTTCTGGAATAAAAGTCTTACCATAAACACCTAACTTTTGATCTCTGTTTATGGGTCTTTTGCATCTGTGGCCTTAGGCCGTTGACCTCTACTGACTCTCGCTAAGAGATTTCCACTTCTCATATTTCCACTTCCCATGTTCTTTCAGTAGATGTGAAAGCTGTTTTTCAGCTAACTGCCCAAAAGAGACTATAATTCCTCCCCACTCTTTTCATATATGACCTTGAAGGTCTTGATGCATATTGAGAAGAGCAGGAACATAATCAGAAAAATGAAGGCTACAGGAGAAAGTGATCGGAAGCAAGAATACTTACAGGAAGCCTTCATATGCTCAACAGAACGTCAGTCCTTGAATTCAAGAGGGCAATGTTTAAAGCAGGTAGACAAGTTTTTAAAAGTCACTGAGAAACTCATTCCTGGGGCATAACAGAAATAAAAAGTATATGGTAAGTCATAAGAAACTGACAGAGCCAGAGCTGGAATTAGTGTGGATTAGTGGAATTAGAGGCTTATGTCTGGACCCTACCTACAAGGAAATTGTGACATATTTTTGTATTCATCAGTAAAAAGTAGTGACTTTTTTCTGCTGGGAAAACTGTAACCTATTATTGGGCCCAGAAAACATGTGACATGCCTTGCCCACAAAAAGTATTGAGATATAACATTGGGCTCAGCACTCTGGGCCCAGGTGATGCAACTCTGTCAACTGTGCTCTGCTTTCAGGAGGGGACTGTAATATGTTCCTGGCTAAATATTAAGGTGATGCTCCTCTCCTGCCTGGTCTTTGCCTTTCAAAAAGATTGTGACATATCCCTCAGCTAGCACCAAGGTGATGTAACTATTTTACTCATTTTCTACACACAGGAGGAATGTTGATATATATATTTGCCCAGATCACAGATACAACGATAAAATTTAAACAAAAAATAATTAATAGAAGATATACTGTCTCTAATAGCTAGGCTTAGGGAAATGGGTAAAATCATGGGTCTTTTCTTTATACAAATGTCATAGAGAATTACCACTTCCTTATATACAGTCTAAAGCCATCATGTGGCACAAACAGTGTCATCACAGGACACAGCACAGATATGAGATGGTGTTTTTTGTATGCACAACCCGCCAATCACTAAAATCGTCACCCTCACACATGGACAGGGTCCAATTTTGAGGTCCTTAATTTCACAAGTAAACGCCATCCAAATTAAAATTATGACTGTCATGTGAACATCTGGCCACTGCTGGGTTAGTGACCCTTTAATAAACCCAACTTATAGACAGGCAAAAACTTTCCAATCTAGATGGACTCTCCCAATAGGAGAGATATTGACTCTCATAGCTGGACTTAGGGCCACAGGTACAGTCATGGGTCCATATCAGCACAGATTGGTCAGAGCAGATTGTGACACTCATACATAATGTGTAAAGCCCACAGATGGTACAGAGAGTGTCCTAACAGGACCAAGAACACAGATGAGAATATGATACTCATATGCATATGACATTAATATGCACACTCACCCAACAGTCAAGGTCGTCATTTTTCCAAATGAACACAGTCCACAGCTGGGGAACTGAATCTCACAATTGGAAGCAGTCAAAGGGTGGATAATTGACTTTCACACATGGATCCAGTCAAAAGGAGGGCTGGTGACTTTCAGATCATGACTCAGCACACTTGTAAGGCTGTCCACAGAAGTGATTAAGGCTCTCACACAGGGTTCCAGTCCACCATTGAGATTGCGACTCCTGTATTTACAGGGCCCAGCAGACAAGTGGAATTGTGACACTCATCTGAATGCCCAGCTGAAAGTAAAGATGGTCAACCTCCTATATCAACACAGTGCACTGTTGAGGTTCTGATTCTCAGTCCCAGAAGATTAAAAAAAAAAAAAAAAAAGGCTCTCATGCATAAATGTGGTCCACAGGTGGGTTGGCGACTCACACCAGGGTTCAGCACACCAAGGAGGCTGGGACTCCACTAAGTCACCACAATCTGCCATAAGAATTGAGACTCTGATCCATAGATCCAGTTCACTGATGAGATTGTGCCTCATGCAGTTGGACCCAAGATTCAGGATGTGTTGACTCTCATACCTAAAACGGATATGTGCAGGATTGTTAATCTCATCCCTGGGCCTTTCTGCAGGTGTGATTGTGACATATCATGTGCCCAGCACCCAGCATGATTTGAGTCTCCCACCTGGGACCAGCCCACAGATGAAATTGTGGCATACCACTGGACCCAGAACCTAAGTGATGCTATTCTATTCCTTTGCCTTGGCTCTGTCTACACGGAGCATTGTCAAATGTTTCTAGGTGCTATACTCTGCACTCAGGTTATATGTCTCTTCTGCCTGTGCCCAGCCCATATGGGTCATTGTGACATTTTTTGGACTGACCCCCATGTTATGTAAGCCTCCTGCCTGGGGTCTGCCTGCAGGGAGAATTTTGGCATATCTATGTGCAAATCTCACAGGTGGTGTGAACCTTTCTACTGCTTGGTTTCTGCCCACATGGAGGATTATGATCTATCAGTGGGCCAACAT